TGGCAGCCTAGGCTTATAAAGTTCTGAGAATGGAAACTACAGCGTGGATATTCATTGAGACTTTCAAGAGGTAGTCAGTTTGGATTGTTCATCAGTGAAATTAAATCCAACCACCCTATGCTGAGAGTCTAAAGTGTATTTTGCTTCAACTTCCTACTCACTATTTACTAAGATGAAAGTAGGTGATAGACCAGAGATGTACTTGAAGCTGGGTAAAAAAAGAATGGGTATTTAAGATGGTATGAAATTGAAGTGGAAGGTATCAGACTAGTTAAAAGGACCAATAAATATGGCAGCTGGTTTCTTAGATGATTACTTGAAGGGAGAAACTTGATGGAAAGCCAGGTGAGATCCTCCGCAGTGATGTGGGGTCAAATAGCATAGGTGGAGGACTTTGTCCCACAATTAGATGTACAATCAGGAGATCTATCTATGTTATCACTTCTTATTGATGTATTGATGATTGACAGTTGTAGCATCTAGGATACTAACTCATGGATTCAGATTTTCCTAATCATTGATTGAATAATTCAATCATTGATTGAATAATTCTCACTGGTGAGGAAATAGGGGACAAATTTCCAAGTTGTCAGATTCCCATCGAGACAAGAATAAATGTGGCTAGAATATCTTTATTATATTACGGGAAATGATAGCCATGTAAGACAGTTGTCCATTTCTAAGTGAGCCAGAAAGATAATTCAGAGTTTATATCTGGCCAGCTTTCAAATCCTTCATGTTCCCTTGCAATCTTGCATCTCAGAAAAGGAAAGCTGGACTTATTCTTATTCTGGATAAGAGATGCTTGTTTATATTTTCTACATTCCATTCAAAATAATGGAAGAAGAATTAGACTGGAATCTTTCAGCTATGAGCCTTGGTATGATTTACATATTAGATGAGGTCAATATAGTCTTGAGGCACATGGTTGAGAACTGGCTCTAAGAGCAATGTATATTAATTATGGCTTCATATTGCAGCAAAGGGGCCACCATAAAAAGGACAGCCTATCAGCTTTATCATTATCAATTGCACCTCATTATGTGGGATAGTGTCAGGGCAAAGCTCTTCCCACCAAACACTGCTTGACACTGTTCTCTTGTGGATAAATGTCATAAAACTATCTTTGCTGAAGTATAGAGTGGAAATATTCGCTCAATATCAAGCTCAGCTTGTCCTGTCCTTGTTCCTGATCCATAAAGATGTCCCCACCTGGTAGAATTTTATCCACCTGCTGAACAAGCAGATTCTTCAACATGAAATACTTATGCATTACAAGGCAAGGGAGACACACAGCTCAGCCTATTCCTTTATGTAGGCTGTTTTTTGAAATGAACCAATTCAATACAAAGAAATCTGCACAATCTGTGGGTAAACCCTGGTGGAATTTAACTTCTGAGAACATTAGAGCCCAGTGTAGACTTCCTTTTGCAAAGGTGACTAAATTAGAGAAAGCCACAAAGGGGATTGTGTTGTTCAATGATTACTCTACCCCAGTGGCACCAAGCTTTAAAATCCCCTATAAAGGAAATTTACTAGGTGCAATCACAGTTTGACTTCTGCAGGCTCCTTATATTCTCTATATTGCCAGCATTCTATTACTGTAAACTAGATGAGCATGTGTGCTCATTCCAAGGCTGCTGCATTAATTAATTACAATTAATTAAAATAATTCTTAATTTCCCTGTAACATGGAAGGGGCTGTGATTTAATCACAAAATATGCAAACAGGACCACATCTATAATGGTTAACATCTTCAAATTCATTTGCTCAGCCTTTCTATTCATGCTAAATTTGTAGCAATCCCTTTGCCTCCAATTTCATCCTATCCATTTTACACAAGTCATATACTATCCTTTTCAATTTCAACATTGTAGAAATTAACTTCAGTCTTTCTTCTGCTATATTTTTGTAATACTAGCAAAGTCTTTGCTGAGCTATTCAAGCCTCATCTTTCTCATATGTCTACTGCAGCCAAATTTTGTCTCCTACCCAACATTATTTGTAGGTAATTTGCTTGTCCCAGGCATTTTACTTATACAAAACCAGTAAACAAGCTGCTGTCAGCTTTTTGCCCATGATATTAAACATACACGATGCACAATGTTGTGTGCATTGGCAGAAAGTGGCAGCCATGACAAGGGGTTTGCTCATTCAAAAAACAACAACAACAACAAAAATCCACAACATGGCTATGATTAGAAGAAGCTTGTCACAAGCACTAATTCATCAGAAATCTGACTGTCATCTTTTGCAGTTCTCTCAGATGAACTCTATGCATCTCATTCCAAAAGATCAAACATCATATATTTTTTTTAAGCAATACTTGTATTGTTCACATCCTGTTAGTTGGAGACCAGTTAATCTCCAACTAACATACTAGAGTTTTTTTTAGTTAAAATGAAAATGGAGAAAGAGAGAGAAGAGCGAAGAGAGAGGAAAAGACAGAGAGAAACAGGCAGGTAAAAAACAGGCAATTTTCTGAAGAGAATAACATATTTCATAGGATACTTATAAAAGCAAATGGAAGGATCATTAGGGGAAGGCATGAAATATTTTTGTCTGAATATCTAGAATATAAAAGTCAATCAGAACTAATACGAACATCCTGATTCTATTTTAGTGCTTAAAGGGAGAAATGTGATAAACTGTATATACTCAAACATATAGTTTGGCCTGGGCTATGGAGAGTGTCAGATGCAGAATTTCCAGTGACAAATATAAAGCAATTTCAAATATTTCAATTCCCAGATTAGATTTTGATGCATTGTTCCTTTTTTTCCAAACACCATTCAGTTAAAGAGTGTAATTACTGGTGTTTTCTTACCAGGATGACAAGTTTGCATTTCATAAGGGAAAAATATGAGCACCTGGTTCCTTGAGCAGAATTACCTGTTTGTCAACATACTAGAAGACAGATAGCAAGCCAGCCCTACCTACTTGTTTCGCCCCACTCCCTTTTCCTGGAGGGAAAAGGTTGCCCTCTGTTAGTTTACACATTATTAAAATAATATTTTTTTTCCTGTTCTTTTGGTCATCTCTGCATCTCTGGCTGCAAATATCTCCTGAAAGCCTTGGGTAGCATTAGTATGACAGAAGGACAACAACATTATTGAATAATGAAGGATATACTAATTACTTTATATTTAATCTTCTTAATTGACATTTACAATATAAATTAAACCTAATTTAGTTTTTTTTATTTCTCATGGACTCTCCCACTTGTTGGAATGTGACCTCTGGAATGCCCTTCAGAATCCAAGCGTGGTCTTCAGTCTAAAAAAGGTTGCACACTTCTGGGCTACATGATCTCATTTTAATGGAATGAATTTCTTCTGTGCTGCGAAAAACAAATCCCCATCACTCATAGCGAACCATCCTGCCATGTTTTTAACAAGCTGAGTTCATGCCAGCAAACCATTTTACCTGCAGTACATTTGCCATCCTGGAATCCCTTTGGGATGGATTTGTTACAATTGCAAGACTGCATTGAGATCTCTTGCTACAATTCTCTCTGGTTTCACAGTTAAGAGTGCCATCTCATGGTCTGTTCTTAAACAGCAGTTTGTATCCTTTTAGTTAGGCTTTTTATTTATTTTTCTAATTCAAAAAAAAAAAAAAGAGTACATTCTATTTTAGGGAACTTAAACAAAACAAAACAAAACTTGTGCATGTAACTGTTATGCTTTAAATATTTCAGTAGACAAATCAAGGCATTGGTTAGCACAGAATGCACAATCAGATATGTAATAAATATCCACTTTTGACTTTTATTACAAAAATAAATGATGGCTCTGGAGCTGAATAATTTACATTCACGTGAAAAAAGTCAGGAAACGTGATAGGAAGATGACTGAGAAAAAAAATAGATTTGCTTACATCTACCACGCTGTTCCGCACATTTGACAGATAACTATCTATCCTCTGCTTAAATCAGTGTAGCAGAGAAGAACCCAAAAACCTCAAAAGGCAGACAGTTCCACATATGGACAGATATTATCAGGGAGGTTCTGTGATTCACTTCAGTTTTCACAGGGCATAGTTTGTGAAGCTAGCAAAACTCTGTTTGTGCAACAAAGCTGTCTACTGGATTATTTACCAGCCTCCTCCTAATAGTCTTATTGGTTGGGAATATTGGCAACTGTGATCTCATCCCTCTCAACAGTTGACATCACATCAAATATGGCATCAGACATTTGGTGAAGCATGTGGACATTGTACTTCAGCAGAGTTTCTCAATTTTACAACTTTAATTGTGTGAATTTCAACTCCCACAATTCCCTAGCCAGCATGCTGGCTGGGGAATTATGGGAATTGAAGTCCATGCACCTTAAAAGCTGCCAAAGTTGAGAAAGACTAACCTAAATGGGAGCTGTCAGTTTCACTATGCTTTTCTTAAGCCCTACTTGCCTAGGGGGTAATCATGTTCAGCCCTTTTATTTTGTTCTTTCATTAACATCCTTTTATAAACCTGTACATTATATATACAAAATTGTGAAGCTTTAAGAAACATTTAAAACAATTAAGAGTTTATTGTCCCTTCTAAGTTGGCAGCAGAATAAAAGTGTTAAAGCATCCATTTTTCTGTGATAGGTTTTTGGCAGCCCAGGTTCTCCATGAATATTATAAGTAGCCTAATATTCCTGTGTTTCCCATTCCATATCAGTTATTGGTCCCTGTAATGTACTTTATTCCCTGAGTTAGACATGCTATTAAGATTATTATTAAGTCCTAAATGTTTTAATTTCCAATATAATTTATTAGATGAGTGAATGGGGGATCAGAAAAACCTATCTTGTTCCATTATGGATAAGCATATAGTCTTTTTATATTATTCAGATATCTTCTGTTTGAAACCCTGACTCCTGGAGGATATTCTAAATGTCAGCTAAAAAAAATGTGGATGTTAAATGCTCTCCCTTTCATTCTTTCAGATACTGTAAGTTGCTTACTCATTGCTACTGCAGTATGAGTCATTCAAGCTTCCTGTTATTGAAGGAATGTATTATTTCTCCTCTCTCTCATGCTGCAGGCTTTGCAACTTTTGTTCCCCCTGCTCCTTTCATGGCCTCACCCTGAATCCCCCCCCCTCCTGGTTTATTGGTTCAGGCCAGACTTTCCTGGTTGACCTTGTGAGTGAGCAGGCAGGAGGATGTGCCTCAGAGCTCGCTAGTATCAGTATGAAGCCCAGTTCTGGGCCTCGCTTTGGCCGGCAGCATTTTCCAGTTGTTTATGTCACCCGTTTTGGTAAATACCACTGTGGCACAAAGATTCGTTCTGGTGGCAAAAGTCCCAAAAAAGCGGCCCAGAAGGATTTCCATTCCTGCCTTTCTGACAAAGCTTCTTCTGCCATTTTGGACAAAATAGGTCCAGTGGATGTCGCCCCTCAGAGACAAATGAGGCATCCAAGCTTGAGAGCTGGGACAATGCAAGTCCAAGGAAACCAAACCAGATGTCGGCAACCACAGAGTGATGGCCAGAACATCAGTATGGCCAAGCTCCCAGGCCAAGAAGCTTCTAAGCTGCCCTGCTCAAGGAAAAAAGGCCTGGGAAGCAAAAGAAGGGCAGCAAATTCTACAATCTCTGGTACTCAGAAATGCATGGGTATCAGTACAACCTAACATTTATCTGATATAACACCCTTTCCCTAATTGCTGCTTTCCTGATGTAAATAGTTCTTAGGCAGCAGAAGCCAGTACAGTGGGGGACCGACAGATTAAAGTTGATATACCCTGTTGTTTCTGTGAATAAGAACCGTTATTTTAAAATACAAGTATTCTCCACTCCAAATGGTTCACCTTTGTAGTGGCCAGTCAGTCCAGTTTTTTTTTACTTAGGTATGGCATATCATACATGGACCAGCAAAATATATTAATATTGCACCTAGATTAGTAAAACACAATAAAATATAAATGTTAAAAAGATCTATATTCAAATACCAAAGTCGAGGCCATCTAACCATTGAAGCACAGCATTGTTTATATTAAAAAAAAATCAGACACTAGACTGGTTTATGCCCTCTACTTGCAGTCAGTCATGATGTGATCTACAATCACACTGAAGGGAGGGTACTATGCCCCATTTATACAGAGAGTCCCAGCAGACACCGTGTGAGGTATAAATTCTATTCAGGATTGTTCATTGCTGATGTGGTGGTACAAAGCCTGGCATCTTTTTTGTGGGGTCATATATATGTCTACCTACAGTATGTCTGAGTGTTCAGTCTGGTGATTTTACCTATATGGTGAGCAAGAATGGGTTCGTTAGGAAATTTTGTATTAGCAAGTGAATTTTCCTCTTCTTGGTCACAACTGAAGCCGCAATAAGTGTTTCTCAACCATGGCAACTTTAAGATGTCTGTATTTCAACTCCCAGAATTCCCCAGTCAGTATGCTGATTGGGGAATTGTGGGAGTTGAGGTCCACACATCCTAAAGTAGTTAAGGTTGAAAAACTCTGACATAGAAAGTATTGCCTACTTTGTAACAAAGGGCATATCCTCTTTACATCCTCAGACTGCTCCTGTCCTGTGCTCATGCTAACTTGACTCTAAACTGGTTTAAGAAAATCCTGTCCAGATTGAGATACTTTGGCAACAGCTTGCATAGTAATTCAGTCCAGACTGCAGGTTACCATGTCTGACACTGCACAATTCCCTCACAGCTTTATGTTCCAATAAAGCAGTTGCCAGTTGCTTTCCTTCCTGTAAATGAGTTTTAGGAAAAACATATATTTTATAGATATATATCTGTATTTTATGTCTATATACCCACGAAATTAAACTGAGTTTATATGCATAAATATAAAACAACAAAATGCACTCCCATGCGGCACAACAACCAGCTCTAAAATGAAAATTCTTTTTTATGATCCTCGTTCTCTCTAATGTTTTCTAAAATACCTTTATTAGGAATGTCATTATAATATTATGGTTAAAACACTTTTTTAAATAGAAATTTGCTAGTTTAATACCCAGCAGATTTTTTTTTCTTTTAACAGGTATGATTTCTGTCGCTTTGCATGCAATAACTTTTTTTAAATTGAGTACAGAGCACTGGAAAAAATTATGAAATTTTGATTTTTTAGGCCTACAGAAAAGTAGCTACTTTGGAAAAGAAAATAATAATTTAAACAAAATTATTCATGAAATTATCTCATTTTTCCATTTTTTCAAATATTCTTTTTGTAGGAAGATTTGTGATATGTGATATAAAGTTAGATGATATTAGCTGAATTTATTCTATTTTGTTCTATTTTTGTTCTATTTTTATTCTATTTTTTATTCTATTTTATGTATAATAAAGAAATTCTCAGCTGACACTTTCCAGATCTGTTGAACTTCAATTTTATTAGGTAAAGCTTATATATCTAGTAGACTCAAGCTATAGATGATGGATAATAGTACAACTAGCAACAGGAACAATATTTATTGATATTATTAATACCTTAGAAGTTCTGAAATCCAGCCAAATACACACCATAACCTTACAAATTTAAATTTTATTTTAAAAATTATGTCAATTACTGTTATTGATGAGTTTGGGACAATTGAAGGAGGAAACAATACATAAATTACTTATTCAGAATATAATACAATGTTCAGATGCTTCATGAAAGTAGAAAATATTCATAATTTAAAAGCTGAATAAGTTTCTGTTTTCCAAATTAACTTCTAATATATTAAATAACAGAGATATAAACCTAACATTATATAAGCTTTCATACCAATCACTAGTTATAACATAGGATGCAGACATAAACAACAACCTTCCCCCTTAATTTTTAGTATATCTAAAAATACAAATGAGCTATTAAAAACTGATTTGCTCTAGAAAGTCAAAAGGTTATTGCCTTAGGCAACATAGTGAATCCCTCCCTCCATTTTACCTCATTTTGATTTTCATCTTCCTTTTAGTTTCAGCTGCTGTATGAAGAAAAAGATGAGCAATATAAGAACACTCTATACTGTCTCCTCTGGAAGGCGCATAATTGTGCTTTCAAATGATATGAAGTATCGATTTTTCAAAATAGTTTTTTAAGATCAGCACCTAATCATGCACCTCAGTTATAATGAAAGAAGAAAATATATATTTTATACCCACAGGATCACAGTAGCTTAAATTGAATGACAAAATAAATACCATTAAATTATTTTAATAGGTGAAGAGAATGGAGCAGATGTGTATGAATTCCCTACATCCAATGAAAACACTAATGAAATGATCAGGAAACAAAAGAAAAAGGTAGAACATCAGAATAATAGCAATAGTTACAGTATATGTTGAAAAATGCTTCTGCTAGTACACTGGGTCTTAGTAATGGTTGAAAATGGTTTTCTGTGCAGAATTGTATGTGTTCATTGTATGCTGCTTCAGTATGTAAATAACATGTTAAAGGAATAGTCACAATCTAGTTGTGATAAATTTAAAATGCTGCCTACTGAAGATGGAAATGTTGATTTGAAAGTTAAGTTCCTTCCTCCAATCTAGGGAAATCTGAGGTTACAGATCTATATGTGTTCTCCAGCCTCATTTTTATAATTTGAGGTACAATTTCCAAATATTTGGAGGCAGGTTATACACATAAATTGTGGAGTAAGTCCTGACTAAGTTTAACATAGTTAAACAATAACTTCTCTCTACCTAAACTTTAATAATAGGAAGACATATTTTATTTTTCATCATAACTGTTTTTTCTAGGTTCTCAGAAAAGTTTAATAAAAGGGCACAAACTTTTTATTTGTTTTATTACAAATAAATCAACTAAAATTTCATAGAGTCAAATGTTAGAAATACCTATTTTGAAATAAGAACAATTATTAGCCTTAGAAGAATGTTTTAAAAGCTTCTTATGTGGGATAAAAAAAAGAAGCAGGATAATGCCTCATACTTCACTATCAAAACTACAACTCGATTCTCATAGAGTTCATTTATTTTCCTTGATGGTGATGTAATTAATACCCCATACAAACAGTGGCTTTGAACATGTCCTCATCCTGGCTTAAAATGCATGTGAATTAAATAATATTTGATGTTATTGCAAGTTAGCACATTAAAGTGAGTATATTACTATTAAAATGCTGAGGGATGATTTTTGAGTTAAATTGTTAACGTAGATCCAAACTGCATATTTAAATTTTGCTTATGAGGGAAACAAACTTTTTGAGATAAGCATAGACATACTTAAGTTTCTTTGCAAAGTATACATTTTTTTTTAAATGGCTGAAGGATGGCTAAAAGGGATTCATGTATGGTTCATAGGAAATGATGTAGAACTGGAATAGGGAAAATGAGAGGGGGAAAATTCTTGATACATGAAGCAGTATGGTTCTGTCCATGTTTTTCACATATCTTTTTCCCCCTAGTCTGCAGTGTGGCTTGAAGTATTTGAAGTAATTTCTAAAATGGTAGAAGAAAATGGACACTTTAGAAACAGATTGGTGTCTAATTTTCATTTTTCAGGTGAAGGTAAGTAGCAAGTAAACTCTTTTCATAAGGAGAACTTGCTGGATAATTGAGCATAATTTTTACAAAAAACATTTGTTAAGAAGGGCTTTCCAATTAATTTTTATCTTACAAACTGAAAACAACATCCCCCTTTTCCTCCTTTAGACCAAAAAGTTGTGGTCCAGTTCATGTAAAGTTAAGCTTTATGATAATAACACAATTCTGTATCCTGCATTCTGAAACAGTAGAAAAAAAACTTGGTTTTCTATGTGATAACCTTTTAGTGTGCATAAAAGTGAACAGGTCAAATTAACCTTCATTGATCTGAGTGGAAGCCAATGTATAGAGAAATTTAGATGGATTGTGTATTAACCTGAATTATTTCATAATGGCTTCCCAATAAAAATATCACAAGGCTACAGTGCACTTGATACAGAATCCTATGGATTTATTTTTCAAATACCCAGAAGTTCCTGTATTTTTACAAATGTTGTTGGGAATACAAAAGAAGAAGTAAATAAGATAGATACTTTCTGTCTCCCAAACTTTGATGTTCTCCTCATAATTCCATTTTTCTTGTTATATCAGAACCTTGAAGATTTTTTCCTGTTTGTGTCAAATTCTTTTCCTTTGTTGTTTCATCAATTTGATCATACTCTTCTAATTTGTAGTCTGCCATCTGATTTATTTGTTCCTTTGTTGTTATTTCCTGGATATTTTTTAATTGTAAATTTAGATTGGAAATATTCTTATTTAAATCATCAAAGTTGTTTCGGATTTCCTCATGGTTTGAGTCTATTGTCATTTGTATTTGTCCTAACATTACATATATTTCTTCCTTGAAAGTATTTATCTTGCCTTGAAGTATTGGAGGCCCTTGATTTTCCAGGCTACATCCTTCAGGAGAAAATATTGAATGTGGCCTCCTGTCATTTTTTGATGCATATGTGGTATCTATGTTGCCTCCCCCCTTCAAATAATCTTTCATCAATGTTTTAATTCAAAAGTCAATTTATCAGTCACTCAAAATTACAATGCAGTATGTTAAGCCACTTTAAATCCTTACTACAGATTCTCCTCTAAAAGATTAGCCAAAAAAACCAAGGTTTTTTCTTCTCCATAAACAGTTCTTAGATTTAAGCAACAGTCCAGGTGTTTTTTTTCTTTCAAACACTTTTTAATCTTATAGCTGGCTCTTCCTTTGTTCCCAGCTGTCTTCAAGGTTATTTGCAATTCAAAGGAACAACTTTTTCTTTGTTTCTAGGCACTCTGCCAATTTCTGAGTCCTTATTGTTAATGTTCTGTTCTCTGAGTCTCCACTAGATGTCAGCAGTTATTTCTTTTTACAGTTTTTCTTTCAATCCAAAAGTTATTTTTGTTATATATTTTTATAATTACATCAAAAAAAATTGAGGGTATAATCTTGACAGTTTTTTAGTTCCTAAATTTGTCCAGACTGAAGTATTTTAAATCAAATTTTAATATATTTCTTCCCCCTTTAATATTAATTTGCCCCTTCCATCTGTAAGGAAATGGGGATATAGTCCCCTCCACTTCTGGAGATTTTCTTGCTTTGGGGATCTTTTAAAGGATTTAGATAGTAGATAGAAGAAAGAAGATCAGTACTCTCACCAATTCCAAGCATGCTGTTCACCAATGTTTAGTTTGTGCTCTGTGATTTTGGCTGCAAGCAGCTTGGGCTAGACACTGATCTCACGCTAGCCTTTCTCCTGTCGGGTTTGGAGGGCTTTCCCCAGATCAAATAAAACTATTGCTGTTACTTCATGATCAACGGGGTGCCCTTCCTTCACAGTCACCTCTCCGGGGCAACTTCAGACCCATCTAGGATCCCCCATGCAGAACAAAACTACCTGTGGGGAGTGGAGGACCGCTCTCACGTGGCCATGTGCTGCGGGTGCAAAACCAAAAGTCCTGGATTATATTCTATTGCTTGTGTTTGCATTATACTGAATTCCAATATGACGTGGTCACTCTCGCCCAAAGTTCCAGCAATTTCAACTCCCTCTATCACTTGTTCTCTATTAGTAAGAATTAGGTCTAGCATAGTTTTTCCTCTAGTTCAGTGGTTCTCAACCTTTTTAATGCTGCGACCCCCAACCGGTTGTAAGTCAAGGACTACTCAACTGGTCGTAAGTCGAGGACTACTCAACTGGTGCAGCACCGTTTTCAGAATGGGACTTTTGGCGGGCTCAGCAGGGCAGAGACAGCCTGGACAATTCCTATTGGCTTTTGAAAGCCAATAGAATTAGACTCTATTCAAGAGAGTCTATTCTATTGGCTTTCAAAAGCCAATAGAATAAAAGGGAGTAGCACAGCTAAGGAAAAGGGGGAAAAAAGGCTGGACTGCGTTGTTTGGCGACCCCCGTGAAATGGTCATTCGACCCCAAATGGGGTCCCGACCCGCAGGTTGAGAACCACTGCTCTAGTTCCCTTCTCTATCTTTTAGAAGCCAAAGTTGTCAGCTAGATTGATTAGGAATCTGCTTGATTTTCCACTTGCTGCAGAGTTTTTCTCCCAGGTGATAATAGGGTAGTTAAAGTCTTCCATTACTACTATGGTATATTTCCTACATACATTTGTTAGTTGTTTAGCAAAAAGTTTATCTATTTCTTTTGCTTGGTTGGGTGGCCTATAGTATATGCCTATAGCAATGACATTCTTTTTTCCTTTTAAATTGACCCATATGGGTTCTAGGAGGTTTTCATCCTTGGTTTTGTGGATTTCTGTAGAGACATAGTGACCTTTTATATATGATGCAACTCCACGTCCTCTTTTGTTATGTCTGTTTGTATCCTTCCATCAGTACATTCCAGTCATGTGTTTCATCCTACCATGTTTCAGTAATGGCAACTGTATCATATTTACCTTCATGTATTAGTATTTCAAGTTCACCCTGTTTGTTCCCTAAACTTTGAGCATTTGTGTATAGACATTTGAATCCTTTATGGGTCTTGGGTATGTTTCTTATATCTCCTACTTTGTATCTGGGTTTTCCATCCTTTCCATCACTCTCTACTTCACTATGTTATTCCTTTTTGTTCTTTTTCTTTCTCTTTACTCCCTACCTCCTTATATGATTAGTTATCTAGTGGTTTTTGCTTGGAATTGGTTCTAAAGGTCTTGAAGATTGACCCCCCTCAATTTTCATTTAAAAACCTTCTGATAAAATGAGCCAGTCATTTTCTAAATATATTATTTCCAGTTCTTGTGAGGTTCATTCCATCCCTTGCCAGTAGCCCTTCATGTAGGAAATGCAAGTAATTCCACGGTCTAGGAAACCAAAGTTCTCTTGATGGCACCAGTTTTTAAGCCAGTGGTTTGTTTCTAAAATCCTTTGCTCCCTCATTGGATTTATATTGGATATTGAATATCATTGGATATCATTATACAGTATTAGATATCATTGGATATTCCTACCTATATCCTAAGGCCATTTCAAACGGCCTACTTTAGCCCTCCCTCATTGTAATATGGGCAGAATAGGCAACTAGCAGGAACTAGTCTGGAAAATACTGCCAGAAAAGCAATATTTTGGTGTACTTTCCATGCTTTCAACTGGCAAGGGATTAGAAAGAGAATCAGTGTGGAGCAGTTGGCTTGCAGAGTTGCTTCTGGCCTGGTCCTTGATGTTAGATTCAAAATCAGCTGCCTGGGGATTAGGCTATTCCAAATGCGCTTTTCCAGCTAGAATGCCTGTGATTTAAAATAGAAAAGCCTAGATCACAAAATGGACAGAAAAGATTTCTGTTGTCAACTGCCATTGCCTTGCCTATTTGACAAAGGCAGATTTTAAAAAAAAATCCCAACCTCCTTAATGTGTTAATATCGTGGTGACATTTTAAACTTTTAATTGCTGCTTTTACTCTCTGTTATTGTATGCTTTACTGCATAATTTGTTTTGTAAATTTTTGCAGTTTTTTGACATAGGCTGTTATAATTTGGTTAGCCTTTTATTAACCTGAATTTTAAACTACTCAGATTTTTAAATAGCAAATAATGTACAAATATACTAAATAAATAAAAAAGTCATTTCTTTAAAATTAAATGAGAGATGCACAAGAAAGCTGCCTCATAATAAGTGTTTGATCAGAATATAATAATAAAATATCTCCAGCTGTAAAATTAGAACAAAGATGATTCCATATAACATATGTATGATTTATTGATAAGCTACTTCATTGTGTATGCTGATTCTGACTTAGAAAAATGTAATTTTAGAAAATGTTTCATCCAAAAGTGGCCTGGATGCAGAATTTCATTATATGAAAATGAAGCAAAGATTAAAACTGACATTCTATTGATGTAGTTTCCATTAAAGCTTTGTTGCTGCTGCACAATTCAAAGTAACACAATATTAAGCGTACCAACTTAATTGGAATTTCTAGCTTCATAGTTTAATTAGTTTTAGGAAACTGATTTACCAATCCATTAAGTGTTAACTGATTAAATTTATACTGACACATTCCCTCCCTCAATTTGTCTTTGCTCAAAGTAACATTTAAGTTTGTAAGCTCTGTGAGAGCAGAATATTTATCAGAATATTGCAAATGAATGCTGGTAGGTTGGAATGCTTCATATTTCCTTGAATTATTAACATGCTAAACAATTAGCCACATTACAATTCTTTATTTTCTTTATTGTATATGAAGTGCTTTGGGATGACTTTTACTAGTACTAGAAAGAAATAAAGAAATAAAAATAAATTTAAATTAATTGACAATTGTTATTATACATTGTAGAAATATATTAATATTACATTATGCCAATTATTATGCAAATATTTATCATAAGATCCTATCCACTTTGAGTTACAAGTAATTTTCTGCTTGTTCAACAGGTTTACTCCAAGGTAAGAGTGAGGATCATTTTGGGCTCCAGATCTCTCCAAGGGGATTGTACTAGATACTCTACATTGTGTGGTTTTTGTAGAAAAATGCCCAGTTCTGAAGGTTTTTGTTATCTCATTTAGAAATATCATGTGATGTTGGCTATTATTAATAATAATTTTAATAGTTTTAATTATTATTATTTACTGGTGAATAGTCTTGTCACTAAATATATGTAAAACAGACCAGTGTTATATAAAGCTATATACTTTAGATTAACCCATGTATATCTAAATTCCTCAGCTATGCCCAATTAAGTAAGCAAATAGTGATTAAACTGTATCAAAATTAATTTTAAATAAATTCTACTAAAATTCATGGGATTTTATAACCCAGTCACCAAATTATTTGCATGATTGAAAGTGTGTCGTTGATTTCAGTGAGATTTATTTACAGTTAATTATGATTAGGACTTTTACTTTTCTATTGATTTTAGTCCTACCGCCTACAAATCTTGTAGGATTGCAGTTTTTTTTTTTGCTGAATAACACTTAAAATTAGTTTTATTTGATTTTGTCTTATGAAGGCAGTGCATCATTCACTGCAGAACAAAGATTTTGTTTCCTGATATCTCATAGATTTTTGGCTACTAGTCATGATCTGTAATTTAATCCATCGTGTTCCCTTTTGTAGAAATTTTCTGTTTCTATAATTTCAAAATTTCAGTACCTATTGGCTATGCTGCACAGATGAAAGAAGCACATGAGAACATGGAACTTGTTGAAGCATATCCAGTACACGAAGTACAACTGGAATATCTGTGGAAATCAAAAATAGCGGCTCTGCTGCTTGGGAGTATTGCTGTTACATATGCGAATGGAACAGTCGTACAAGACAGGCACATTACTTTTTTTTTTTTTAATGGCCACTTTGGTTCCAAGGCAGAAACATGTGACACGTGACCTGCTTCTTGATCCAACAAAGATATTTTTGCCTCTGCTTCACATAAAACTCAGACTGATGAAAAAATTTGTGAAAGTAATGAACAAGGATAAGAAAGTTTTCATTATTTGAGCAGATGTTTCCAAGAATAACTGATGCCAAGATTAAGGAAAACATTTTTGTTGGTCCAGAGATCATCATCAATGACAAGTGATTTGAAGATCTGTTAATGGGGCCAGAGGAAATCTCCTGGAAAGCATTTGAAGATCTCGTTGAGAATTTTCTTGTCAGCTACTGTATAGAGCAGCAAATTACATTCAGCTGGTTGACAAACTTTGTACAGCACATAAAACCATGAAGTGCAACATGTCACTGAAGATTCATTTTCTGCATTCACACTTAGACTTCTTTCCCAAATATTTAGGTGCAGTCAGTGACAAACATGGTGAAAAGTTTCACTAAGACATTGCCACAATGAAAAAATAGTATCAGGGCAACTGGAATCCATCAATGCTGATTGACTATTGTTGGATACTGCAGTGAGATGCATCAGACACTAAGTACAAATGAAAATTAGCAGCAAAATACTTTTAGCCTCATGCAACATGTCAGAAATGTTAAGTGATTAAATACATTACAGTCATTAAAAGTTAATTTCACATTTCTCAAGATTCCTACATGATACAGACATTCTGAAATTATAGTTGCGTTCAATTTAAGGGGGGGTTCATCATAATCACCAAAACTTTTTCAGGAAGCAAAATGAAAAAAGTTGTTATCCAGTGAACTAATGTTTAACTAATTAATGCGCTAATTTGTGCATGATGAATATATTTACTAGTGTTTGATCTTTATTGTAATCCTGTTTACCTACAATATAGGTACTATATGAATTCTGTGCAGGAGTCAAAGCTCTTGAAATAGGGTCCCTTGTAGATTCTCCTGCATTGCTTTCTTACAATAAGAATTATACTGTTTGAATGCATTTCTATTTTTTTAACTAAAAATTGATTTTATGGACATACAGTACTTCCACTTAAAACATGTTTTCATACATTGGTCGTGAAAGTAGTAAAAACTGTTTTGTCAAAAATCTGTTTATACCTCTGGAGGAAAGAATAGACACGAGTAATTCCTCCTTCCTCTCCTCATTTCTCATCATTCTTTAGAAATTACATATTGGCAATTATCTTTGGCTATAATTTGCATTTTTTTTAAAAAAGGCACTATTATGTTACTCTCATTGCTAATTGTAGCTCCTTTTTTTTCCAGAGATTTAATTGTGGCTCATTTATTAAACTCTATTTAGCTGAAAGCTCTTGATTCTAATGCTTTTTTTTAAATTACTGGATTTTGCACAATATTGCACCAAAGAGATAAGTTTCCTATTGATCTGAATTCTTTATCAGATACATTGTGAAAATAAATGGAGTAGTCCAAGTAGGACTGCAAGATACAGAATAACAAATCTGAAGATTTGTGCAGATTTATGTGCAAAGTGTAAAGTGTTTTCTTATTTTTATCTAACATAATTTTAATAGCATACATTGTTTAATGGGGATTATGAGAGTCATTTTCCGCATAAAACAAAGTACTGTTCATTGTAGTGACTAAAGTGCTGGGCTAAAAACCAGGAATATGTGAGTTCTAATCTCAGGCATGAAAAATGGTTGGGCGGCTTTGGGGCAGTTTTTCTCTTTTAGCCCAATCCACCTGAAAATCTAATCTATTCTTTTATATTTTCTCGTCTGAAATTCTTCTATAGGTACAGACATAAATCAGAATTTGCAAAGTGAAATTTCTTTTACTGAGACAGTAAGTAAAATAAGTTTTGTTTAAAATGACAAAATAGGATTAAGAAATTATTACAAAAGGAATGACACATAATAAATCTTTTCCAATTTTGTTAGACAATATGGACTCCATTTGTTGTAGACTGATGAATTCATAGTATCCTGGACAGGGTGTCTTTGAACAACTCATCTATTTATTTATTAGATTTTTATCCCAACTTTATTTTTTTTTATAAATAACTCAAAATGGCAAAATATATAATACTCCTTCCTCCTACTATTTCCCCTACGACAAAAAACCTATGAGGTGGGTTGAGGTGCGAGTGAGAGAGTAGCCCAAAGTCACCCAGCTGGCTTTCATGCCTAGGGCAGGACTAGAACTCACAGTTCTCCAGTTTCTATGCTAGCAGTAGAACTACTACACCAAAAGAGGAGGAGGAGGAGGAGGAGGAGGAGAAGGAGGAGGAAGAGGAGGAGGAGGAGGAAAAGAAAAAGAAAAAAGGTTTCTCCAAAATCTTTTTCTCATATGACTTCCTTAGAATCTAGGGATAGATTGGAAATGTTTCTCAGACATATCACTAATAGTAATAGAAAATAGTTTCTTTTGCTAGATCACTTATTTATGGACTTGAGAGATGCTAGTCTTCTCATTTTGGTCCCAATCTAGTTCTTTAAATTGACCTGGAGTTGGGGTGGGGAAACAAACCCCACCCTTATGCATCCCTAAAGGAGAGCAGATTGGACAATGGCATGGAGTGCTGCTGACTGTGGCATTCTTAAGCCTACTTTCCCCCTTCATTCAGATCAAGTGTTCCAGGGATTATTGCTATTAAAAGGTTGGGATTCCAGAATTTATGTTCTTTGTGCTTTCTCTACCTTGTTTAAAATATATGCAAATGTTGCATTTATACACTTTGGCCCATTCATTACATTTACTTGAAGAAATACAGTTACATTATTGCTTTTAATTTTTAACTTATATTTTATATCTTCTAGCATTCTATTATTCTCCACTGTAATTTTCACTCCACTTTTGGTATATCATGTTAGGTCCTTTGTGCTCCTTTTTAATAACTGTATCCACTCCCTTATTTTATAACAATAATAAAAAATTGGTTTGGGTGGAAACACTTCTTTTTGGCCAACCATATTTATTTATATTGGTCAAAGCTAATTTCAGAGACAAATAAGTGTCTGTAATAGAGTCAATAATGACATTGGAATGCTGTGGTAATAGGAAAGTTGATATTATGGTAGAAAAGTTTACGTTATTGAACAGCTAGGTGATTTTTGAAGCTGTTAAAAAATGCTATAAGTTTGCCTTTTCATCCAGGGTGATATATACACTTTTATTTCAGATAAACCAAAGAGACTTTTGTTGATGCAATTTTTCATAATTGTTTCCTCAAGATATATTATTTATTAATTAGAAAGACATTATTATCTTTTATAATCAGCCCAAGATATGGATATGTCTATTATGAAACTATAGATTCCAAAGATGTATAATTTGAAATAATATTGTTTGCCATATTTCATTTGTTATTGCTAACAGAAGGAGACTATCTAGTTAAATAGTTTCTCATTATTTGAATTTATAGAATATAGTATTAATATTTGCTGAGTGCAAATCCCAAGGAATAAATTTGTTGGTTTATGATAATTTCTCCTACTATACTTTAAGGGAGGAGTCTCTGCTAGTATCAAATATTACTATTTAGGGAATCCAAGATACAAAGGGAAGATCAATTTTATTCCATGCCTATTGGCCCTTTGAGGCAGATTAAGTCAGGAAATAGATTCCATAAAAATGTTAGAAATCTACTTTATTGTTGTAGACTATATAGCAGAAACTTGAAAGCTAGAGTGAGTTTTTCTTTCCTTTATAATCCAGGGATTTAAGGGGAAATCAGCTTGAGTTTCTTTTTAATGGTCCTTCATTTCTAAGGCTTAAAACATTATTATTTTTCATTTCATTCAAAAAGCTCCTTTTCATTTCACTCTCATCACTCTATGCGGTGGGTTTGGATGAGACGTAGGATGAGTTTTTCTACAATATGTGCAGAATATTCTGCAGATATATGTTCTGTCATATATATCTGCACACATCAAAGGCTTTTAATAAATTAAGATTTACAGACAGATAAGTCAAAGTCTTTCAACTTGATATATGTTGAAAAGGAAATACTTGGTGCATTTATTTGTTGTAATGAGACGTTCCTAACCAAGATATTTATTCTTTTTCTTTTAGGATGAAGCAATTTTTGGATGGGTGTAAAAAAATAAAGAAACAAGGAAAAGAAGATTTATTTATTGTTCTTATTTTCATTGTTATATGAAATTAGCATCTAACCATTCAAGAGAAAAACAAGAGAAAGTACTGGAACATAAGCGCCATGTAGTTTATACAAAACATGCACAATATAAAGTACAAAGTATGCATTTCTGATTATTGCATTTATGGTTACATTAGACTGTTATAAATTTTTATTTAAATTCTAAGCAATGCTCTTTGTTAGTATTTTGTATATATTCTTATATAAGAATACAATATAATATGGTTCTAACACTACTGAAAGAATATTTAGAATTTCAGAAAAAATAAGTTTGTATGAAATAAATATTTAAATTGAAACATAAATTGAAGTTTTGAATTAATTTTATTCCCATGCAATTAAGATTGCGTACTTGAATCTTTGTATGTTGAAAAATTTAAGTAGCAGTCAGTCATCAATCTCAGCTTGCCATAAGTAAAGTTCAAGGTAAGTGAAGCAGCAAAGTGTGAATTCATAAAGGTGATGAAGTTGGGATGCAGTGGCAGTATTTTATTATTGCAGTCAGGCATCCCAATGTTATTCAACCATGTAACTTACTGAGTGTTAAAAGGAAGGGTCATTCTCCTTCCAATATTCATTTTCATGATATAACTTTTCATTGCTTCCTTGCTTCTAAAGATTATTGCCTGGAAACCTCATGACTCATAGTGCAAAATATATTACCTAAGAGTAATATGTTTTCTGAAAAACCAAATAAAAATGATCCCTTCCTGAACAAGAGAACATTGTCACATTTCCACCCCCATCTATATCTTCATGTCTTCATCTTCATGTTCATGCCTTGAACTTAGAGAATGTTGTCAAAGACCTGATATTCAGCATCCATGAACAAAATATAATTTAGATAGAGGTAATGCATTTCCATGTAATTCCCTGTTCTCCAGTAATAATATATAAATATTCTTCTGTATGAAATTTCTCTAAAATAGAGTTGTGGTAGTTTGGTAGTTTAGAGTGCAGGAGCTTAGCACACAACAAGGCCTAAAATAGCTGCCTGCAATATATAAACTGAACAAATAGGAAAAGCAAAAATAAGCCATTTTTTTTTTTTGAAAAAAGCAAGTTTGATTTCTTTACTCTTGCCCTTTTCATTGGGAATTTAATGTAATATTAGTTAAAAGTAGCTGGTGACTCCATAATTAATTGTCTAAATGCAAGATGTACTGTACTTAATTTCCAATTCCTGCTTTCAGATTATCAGATATTAAACTTCACCTTTTCTGAGAACTCCAAAACAATCAATCAAGAATAAACAAAATAGAGACAAAAAATCCAGGGTTTTCCATAAGGTCACTAAACTTTCCTAAAAGACAACTTATCCCATTCAGTGCAGATTTTTAAAAGGTTATACTTGGATTTGAAGAAAACATCTACATTATAGTCACTTAGTTACTGTTACAAACTAAAAGTGGAAAATCTATAGCTGTTAAATTGTTGTTTCCTGCAGTCTGGCCAAGGGTAAAAATGTTGGAAGCTACCATTCAATAAGACTTTCTCATAAGAAAATACATTTGTGCAAGACTTCTCTGATTGAATTATAACTCATGTACAGCTTGGTGTTAGGAGAATTGAATGTAGCAACAGACCAGTGGTGGGATTCAGCTGGTTCGCACCACTTCAGCAGAATCGGTAGCTAATTTTTTGTTGCCCAGGCCCAGAATGGACTTCTGGAAGAGGCATCCACACAAAGAACCAGTTGTTCACATATTTGAATCCCACCACTGCAACAGATAGTATATAGACTTAAATTTTCATTAGGGAGCCCTGCAAGATATTATTATTTATTACAAGATAAAAGTCTTTTTAAAAGATGTTGATTGCTTTAATCAGTCCTTGATATTAGCATCCCTCAGGAATGAAACCTTGTATTAATTATGTTTAGTATATATTGTATGCAAATGAGGTTGTATGTACTTAGGTTCTACATTTTAAAACTGAATGTGGAAAATCCCCCCACAATGTTTTTATTTTCTGAACTGAAGTTTTTTTTTTATTAAAAAGTTTTATAAGTTTTACAAAAAGAACAAAACCATACAAAGACAAAAAACAACATATACAAAAAAAACTAAACATTACACAACAAAACCCCCTTTCCCCACCCCCCCCAAACACCCCCCCTTCCCCCCCCCAGAGCTTCCCAGAGCAGAATATAGGCTTAATTAAAAAACAATTAAAATTATATTTATAAAAAAAGAAAATATAACATTAAAACATATATATATATATAAAAATGAAGATTATGAAAAGGCTATATAATATTTTTTTATATCCAGTTTAAATTGTATAAATTTTATCCACTTATCCCAAACAGCAAGAAATTTCTCTTGCGTTTGTTCCTTTAAAAAAGCCGAAATCTTTGCCATTTCCGCCAAATAAGACACTTTAAGAAACCATTCCTGCAATGTAGGCAAAGATTCCTTCTTCCAAAATTGTCCTACTAACAGCCTCGCAGCTGTAATCAAATTTAACATCAATATAAACTCCTTTGTATCACAATCAGTAACTATACCCAACAAAAATAATTGCGGAGTAAATTTTACCCTCCTTCTAAAAATTCTCTGGATATTCCACCATATCTTAATCCAAAATGCTTTTATCTCTCTGCACGACCACCAAATGTGATAATAAGTAGCGTCCATGCAACCACATCTCCAACATTTAGATTGTAAGTCAGGATACATAAGAGACATTTTTTGTGGATCAAGGTGCCATCTATAAAACATTTTATAAAAATTCTCCCTTAAGTTCTGTGCTTGTGTAAATTTAACATTTCTCACCCAGATGATTTCCCAGGTGTCCAATGAAACTGGCTCACCAAAATTCTGCGCCCATCTGATCATACAATCTTTAATTAGTTCCGTTTCTGAATCCAATTCAACTAAAATCCCATAAATCCTCTTAATGTGGGTTTGTCTTTGATCCTTCACTTGCTTAATAAAATTTTCATCTTCTCTAAGAATACCCACCTTACAATCCACCTTCCATCTATCTACTAATTGCCTATATTGGAACCAAGAATAAATAATATTCTCTTGTGCTAACTCTTCCCGTGATTTTAACTGCCAGTTTTGTCCATCCCATCTAAGTAACTGTCTATAAGACACCATATCCATTTTAGCACCCCTTTTTATTCCTTCTATCGCATGCCAAGGTATAGCCCATAATGGTACTTTAAAATCACTTTTATAATATTTTCTCCAAGTCCTAAGTAAAGAAATTCTTAAAATATGAGCTTTAAAAACCCAATCCATTTTTTTATTAAATATTAAATAGGCATGCCACCCAAAAAGTAAATCCCATCCCTCTAGATGGAGTATCTCAGGATTTGTCAAATTTACCCAGTCACTAATTAGTGTTAAAACCACCGCATCATAGTATAATTTCAAATTCGGTACCTTGAGTCCACCCCTCTCACGGAAGTCTTGCATAATTTTAAACTTGACCCTTGGCTTTTCCCCTACCCAAATAAATTTGTTAAGGCCTTTCTGCCATTCGCTTAAATTAATCTCATTCTTCAAAATCGGTAGCATTTGAAACAAAAAGAGAAACTTGGGTAGAATATTCATTTTTATCACTGCAATTCTTCCCATGAGGGATAATTGCAACTTCTCCCAATTCTTCAAGTCTTTCTGTACCCTAACCCACAACCTTTCATAGTTATTTTTAAATAGTTTTGCATTAGAAACAGATAACATCACCCCCAGATATTTTACCTTATTAACAATTTCAAAACCCGTCAAATTAACCAAGGTCTGCTTCTCCTGGCTAGTCATATTTTTAGATAAAATTTTAGTCTTGTTAACATTAATCTTAAAGCCCGAGACCAAACCATAATAATGAATCAATTGTAATAACTTTACTACAGAATGAGTAGGTTGCGACAAAGTAACCACCAAGTCATCCGCAAAAGCTCTTAACTTATATTCTTTTTTATTAACTTCTATTCCTTTAATTTCCTGCGACTCTCGAATTTTGATTAACAATATTTCCAATGTTAAAACAAACAACAACGGTGATAATGGACATCCCTGCTTGGTACCTTTCTCTATTGTGAAAACCTCTGAGAACCCTCCATTAACAATAAGTTGTGCCGTTTGTTTTTGATATATTACCGTAAGAGCTTGTACTATCTTTTCCCCAAAATTCATCTCCTCCATTACTCTTAACATAAAATGCCAATTCAATTGATCAAAAGCCTTTTCAGCATCTAAAAATATCAGCCCTGCAGGGACTTGGTTGTTCTTATCTAAATATTCTAATAAGTTGATAATTTGTCTAACATTATTTTTCATATACCTTCCAGTTATAAACCCAGATTGATCTTTGTGCACAAGATGATGCACAACCCTCATAAGCCTATTTACTAAAATTTTTACAAATATCTTATAATCCACATTTAAAAGAGATATAGGCCTATAATTCTTTGGTAAAGTAAGATCTTGATCCTCTTTTGGAATCAGTGATATAAAAGCACTACACCATGAAGGAGGAATCTCTAGACCCTGTAAAATATCATTAAAAAGATCACCTAATGGCTGAATCATCTCCTCCATTAAAGCTTTATAATAAACAGCTGTTAACCCATCCGTACCTGGTGCTTTCCCTGGTTTCAATTGCTGAATTGCTAACGCAATTTCCTCCTTAGTAATTAAGCCATTAATTTCCTGCTTCTGATCCTCTGTCAATTTGGGAAAACTAGCCTCGTTTAAGTATTTATTTATATCTAAAATTTGGACATTGGTAGATTTATATAATTTTTGGTAATACTCCAAAAAAGATTTCTTAATCAATTCCTTCTGAGAAACTAATTTACCCTGATAATTTATTTTATCTATTATTCTCTGTCTCTGTTTCTTTCTTAGCTGATAAGCCAACCATCTCCCTGGCTTGTTAGCATTACAAAATGTATTTTGTTTCATAAACAATAAGTTGGTTGCAGCTTGATCTGCTAACAACATATTAAATTGTGTCCTTAATAACTTTACAGATTCTTTAATATTTTCATCAGAAGGATTTAAAATCAAAGACTTTTCTTTTAATTTAATTTCATCTTCCAATTTTTTACGTTTCTGAGTCTGCTTTCGCTTATGATAATTATTCATTTTTATCAAAATACCACGCATAAATGCTTTACCTGCATCCCATACCATTGACATTGAAGTCCCCTTATACATATTTAAAGCAAAATAATCCTTTAAACACTCCTTTAACTTTTGAACATTCTTTTCTTGTCTAAATAA